TTATCATGTAGACTTTACTGGTGGCAGTTCTATCCTATCCCACTCTGAAATCAGATGCAAGCTAAACCTTCTTGATAAGAGATCACAAAATTTGATCTAAAAATCCACATGGAAAAGACAAAGATAAAAGGACAAACAATAAGCCAGTTTCTCTGATCAGTATTCCACACCAAGATGGGCAGTCACCTAATTAGTAGTATAGGTAGAGACGGGAAGGGTGGGGTACCGGGTTGGCGGGGGTGGGGTGCCGGGTTGGCGGGGGTGGGGTGCCGGGTTGGCAGGGGTGGGGTGCCGAATTGGCGGGGGTGGGGTACTGGGTTGGCGGGGTGCCGGGTTGGCGGGGGGGAAGATACGGGGGCGTGATTTAGAAATTACATTTGAAAACCACAATTGTAAGAAGAGTTTTCATAACACTGCGAAATCTGTAGAAGTCAAGGAAAATTAAACTAGACTAAAACTTAAAATATCTGGCCATCATTGATATCAAATAATTACTGATGTGTGGAGCTTAAATAATGAGAACTACTTAAAAAATTACTAAAACAGGCATTCATTAACTGGCGCCTGCGCAGAAAAAGGATTTAAATAGTATAACATAATCAACAATGCTTAACTTTGGGAAAGATCAAAGTCCGATGAGCCAAGAGGCGAAGACAAAACTCTGGCTTTAGATAAGACACACGGTGAAAATACTCTGAGATTACGATTTAGACTGTGTTTGCTCCTGAACTAACAAGGGCAAAGGTATAAAGCTAAGACTGGGTTGGGGGGGGGGGAAGAGGGAGGGGTGGAGGGGCACCAGGCGTAGATATGATCTAGATAGAAGAATGCAGGTAAAACATGGGGGAAGACATGACGTGAAGGTTGGAGGGGGATCAGGCGTAGATATGATCTAGATAGAAGAATGCAGGTAAAACATGGGGGAAGACATGGCGTGGAGGTTGGAGGGGCACCAGGCGTAGATATGATCTAGATAGATAGAAGAATGCAGGTAACACTTGGGGGAAGACATGACGTGGAGGTGGGAGGGGCACCAGACGTAGATATGATCTACCTAGATAGAAGAATGCAGGTAAAACATTGGGGAAGACATGGCGTGGAGGTGAGAGGGGCACCAGGCGTAGATATGATCTATATAGATAGAAGAATGCAGGTAAAACTTGGGGGAAGACATGACGTGGAGGTGGGAGGGGCACCAGGCGTAGATATGATCTACCTAGATAGAAGAATGCAGGTAAAACATTGGGGAAGACATGACGTGGAGGTGGGAGGGGCACCAGGCTAGATATGATCTAGATAGAAGAATGCAGGTAAAACTTGGGGGAAGGCAGGGTTGAGCTGCATGCAATAGCAAACGATAGAACATCTTGATGTGAGTTAGTTCAGGTCGACGCTCCATTGTGAGATTGCTGTTCAACGTCAGCGTCTGTTCTTCACAACTTCACTGGTCGAATTTGACAGAAGAGACTGGGTATGAACCTTCACGGGACAACACATTCCCAAGAGCCGCGGGATTGTCCATGGGGGACTAGCTGGGAATCAACGTTCTGCAAAAAAATCTACTTTAGGATAATGAATTCACTAGGCAGACGAGATTAGATGGAACATACAATTGACCGGACCCTGCAGGTAAAACAAACAAGTGGCTACAAAATGAAACCAGTGGACTTTGAATGCAAAGATTCACTGAATGATTCGCTGAATAATTGAAATGCATTGATAGATTTCTCTCTCTCTCTCTCTCCTCTCTCCTTCTCTGGGGCTAGGGATCGTAGTAGCGTAGTGGGTCAACGTTTGTCTGCCGATCTGAAGGTCTTGTATTTGAATTCACATTGTTCGAGATACGTGAAAGATTCCCTTGCACCTGCTGTGTTGTAATTTACCCGATCATCTACAGAAAATGTTGTTTTAAATACATCACATGATGTTGTTGCAGCATCTTTCTGGTGTGCAGAACGGTGAGCAAAAAAAAAAAAAACAATGTGTTTCTACGATAAGTCTCAGATTCTACCCAGGTGGTTTCAATATACAGATCTCGTTTATCACCTCTAGTCATTCTCGCACGGAAGTCTCTTGAGAATCGACTTATCTGTCTGTTGTAGTTCCTCTCTTCTAGGGCCTTTATGTCCAACAGCAGATGTCTAACAAACAGATCGTAAATCTAAACTACTGTATGTATTATGTCGCTATGTGGGTTCCGGGGACCAGTTTGGGTTGAACAGAACAGACGCTCAGATGTCTAACAAACAGATCGTAAATCTAAATTACTGTATGTAGTATGTCGCTATGTGGGTTCCGGGACCAGTTTGGGTTGAACAGAACAGACGTTCAGATGTCTATCAAACAGATCGTAAATCTAAACTACTGTATGTATTATGTCGCTATGTGGGTTCCGGGGACCAGTTTGGGTTGAACAGAACATACGTTCAGATGTCTAACAAACAGATAGTAAATCTAAACTACTGTATGTATAATGTCGCTATGTGGGTTCTGGGGACCAGTTTGGGTTGAACAGAACAGACGCTCAGATGTCTAACAAAACACATCGTAAACGGAGACTAATTAGGGTGTTTCTTCCAAATCAGAGTGCATCTGTCTAACAGACAAGCAACATCAGTCTGCAAACAAGCCAGGTCTGTAAAACAGGAATACATGTAACGCTTACATTCTGGAACAGTAGGTAACTCTAGAAATGGACGAACAACCAGAACATTTAGCTGTAGTACAAATCCGGTGAACTTTAAGAAAATGATGAAAAATATATGCAGTCTTGTTTGTAAGTGTATGGTTGTCTGTTTGTGCGATACAATGATGGAGGCTTCTTAGCCGCATCGTTTATTTTTGCGCTTCGTAACTGTGCACTGTTAAGCTGATTATCTGTAATTATCGCTTGCAATGACATTTTGAAAGGACGTGTTTGTTTCACTGACTTGGCTGCCTTGTCAAAATGACAACATATCGCGGGTTGTAACGGCGAACCAAGACATGTTACCCGCATCTCCAATCAAGCACTTCTTCTTCTACTGCCTTTCTAACCCCAATGAAGCATAGGCCCTCAACTAATTACGCCAAGTCGTTCTATCCCTTGCCACTGCGTGCAGCTCTACCCCATTTCCTCCATATCTTCTTAACTTCACTGTCTAGCTCCAGTACGCCCACCCTGGCTTTTGCCGGGGGCCCTAAATATAAGCCAGGCCTCAAATATGGCCTAACGGCTAAACGGGGTTTCCAGGACCTCTCCATGGGTGATCCTCATCCGCATGGTGTCACTTTGTGTCACCGGGTGTTCATCGCTTGTGTGATGTCCTGGTGGGGAACAATTTACTTACCTACCTACACCCATCCAAGTGTTTGTTTTTTCCAATTATTTTTAAGCCCCTGTGTGTTTTAGTGGAAAGATATTCTAGTTATACTGTTCTAATGTTTTCTCTGCATGTGTCCTATCCAACGCCAGCGTCTTTTCTTCACCTCTTGGTCCAGTAGAACTTGTTTTGTTCTCTTTCAAAGTTCTACATTGGTGATTCCATTGACCTCCACAAATCTCCTCGTGCCATGAAAGCTTCTCTTATCTTTCGTATTCGTATTTAAATTTCTCAATCATTTGTACCATTTTTTTCTCATTGCTTCCCAAGTAGATGTGAGAATTCACATCTTGGAGGGAAATACCATTAAGGGAAACGACATTACTATTTGCCTAATTTATTCTCATTATCTTTGTCTTTCCGTTATTTATTTTCAGTCTTAGCTGCTGTGAGAGAGAGAGTGAGAGCCAGGAGTGACTGGAGAGAGAGAGTGAGAGCCAGGCAAGCAGGTCTCATCACGAGACTGGAGAGAGAGAGAGAGAGTGAGAGAGGCAAGCAGGTCTCAGACTGGCGAGAGAGGAGAGAGAGAGAGTGAGAGCCAGGCAAGCAGGTCTCATACACGAGACTGGAGAGAGAGAGCCAGGCAAGCAGGTCTCATACACGAGACTGGAGAGAGAGAGAGAGAGCCAGGCAAGCAGGTCTCATACACGAGACTGAGAGAGAGAAGAGAGCCAGAAGCAGGTCTCATACACGAGACTGGAGAGAGAAGAGCAGGAAAGAGGAGACATACACGAGACTGGAGAGAGAGAGTGAGAGCCAGGCAAGCAGGTCTCATACACGAGACTGGAGAGAGAGAGAGAGAGTGAGAGCCAGGCAAGCAGGTCTCATACACGAGACTGGAGAGAGAGAGAGTGAGAGCCAGGCAAGCAGGTCTCATACACGAGACTGGAGAGAGAAGAGTGAGAGCCAGGCAAGCATGGAGAGAGACGAGAGACTGGGAGAGAGAGAGAGTGAGAGCCAGGCAAGCAGGTCTCATACACGAGACTGGAGAGAGAAAGTGAGAGCCAGGCAATCAGGTCTCATACACGAGACTGGAGAGAGAGAGAGAGCCAGGCAGAGAGGTCTCATACACGAGACTGGAGAGAGAGAGAGAGAGCCAGAGACAGAGAGAGAGAGAGCCAGGGTCTCATACACGAGACTGGAGAGAGAAAGTGAGAGCCAGGCAATCAGGTCTCATACACGAGACTGGAGAGAGAGAGAGAGAGAGTGAGAGCCAGGCAAGCAGGTCTCATACACGAGACTGGAGAGAGAGTGAGAGCCAGGCAAGCAGGTTTCATACACGAGACTGGAGAGAGAGTGAGAGCCAGGCAAGCAGGTTTCATACACGAGACTGGAGAGAGAGAGAGTGAGAGCCAGGCAAGCAGGTCTCATACACCCGACGGGAGAGAGAGAGAGAGTGAGAGCCAGGCAAGCAGGTCTCATACACGCGAGAGGATCCCTTCAAGATATACTGGCATGTCTGTCTAAAAGAACTTGTACTGACACACTGCTGCAATGCTAACACTCACTGTTGAAAGATGGGACCTGATTGACTGAATCGTAATGTCACAACAATGTAATTGTTAAACGCAGTAATCATGTGGCGTTTCTAGGTGGCACTATGGTCATATTGTCCAAACGTAAACAGGCACAACAGATTCAACTCACCACTTTCACCTTCTGCCAGTTGTAACGTACAACCTGGTCGACGAAGAAATTAACCAGAGAGTAATGGCTGACAGGTCCCACTCTGGTCAGCATAGGAAACATTGACTTTCTGTCTTTGACGAAGCCCCAGGCATTGGCGCCTGGTGTAATCATTGGCAGATTCCAGAACGTAAGCTGTCTCAGAACAGGCGCAATGACGTAATCACAAACTGGGCCGAAAAATACGTCCACTTGTTTGTGGAAATAGTATTGGATAGCCAGATTCATCCCCATCTGAAAGATTACAGAGAATAATAGTAAATATTATATGCTTATAATTACACAGCAAAGTCATCAGTATAACTGAACACATAAACAAAAGGTAAGCTCGGCGAAAGGAAAGATCACAGACAACAAGTGAACGTTTCTAATTACGCCTTTATAAACATACAAATAAAAAAAATAAAAAATTCTGGGGGGGGGGGAGGGAGGGGGCACATGTAAAATAAGGGTTATTTTTAAAAAAAAGTCCAGCTCTGCCAGGGAGCGAACCCACGTCGCTCCGATCTGCACTTGAGCCGCTTCGCCACGGCGACTCCTACAACAGACTTAACGTGTCACTAATGTCCGCGTGCAGGAAAGCCCTTGGTCAAGGCCGATATACCTGGCGACACAACAAGGTGCTAAAAGAGTTAGCAGCCGTTGTTGACCAGGCTAGAATGAGGGCTAACACCAGAGCCAGTTCTACCATCGTCCCCATTCGTTTCCTCAAGGTTGGACAGGTTCCAAAAGGTAAGGTCAACCAAAACGCATTCGCTCTATCTGTGCTAGACTCTGCGAGGGACTGGTTACTGGCGGTTGATCTGCCGGGCCATGAAAGGTACCCCGAGTTGATCCGGAAGACCGGCCTGCGACCTGACATAGTTCTCCACTCTGCGCAAAAACGGCAGCTCATCCTAATTGAGTTGACCGTCCCGTATGAGTCGCGTATGGAAGAGAATCACATGTATAAGCTCGAGAAATACAGTGATTTAGCAGCCGGTCTGAGGAGAAACGATGCGTACACAGTACGGGTCTTTGCCGTCGAAGTGGGAGAGGCCTCGTTTCCACTTCGCTCTTCAATGTGGTTAAAGAACTAGGATTGCACGGTAATGAACGGAAACGAACGCTCAAAAAACTGGGCGAGGTAGCCGAAAGGGCCTCGAGCTGGCTTTGGACGCAACGCAACAAAGTAGGGGACGGGGGTCGGTGAGCTGGTCCGGGTCTCTAGCGGAAAAGGGTTTCTCACATCTTGAAAGTCCATCGTGTCCGAATTGTCTGCCAGTGATCCTCTGCCACCTGCTAATAAAGACCAACATCTGTCCGGTAAACCAATCGTAAGCTTGTCGCTCGGTCGTCCAGGTATGCTGACTGCTTTAATTAGGCTGCAGCGACGACTTCTTATCTCACAGTACCTTCTGCAAACCACCAAGTCGTCTTGTCTCTATCCGAAAGAAAAACACCATCCGGTAATTTCGTGCAGCAGGGTACCAGCCCTGAGCTTCATGAACTCAGGTGGGCCCACCTCCGTAAGTGTCTAGGAATCGTGGGCCGAAACACTTGTCGACGAGGATAATTTCTACTGACGACTGGTAGATCCCTGCTGTACTTGCTCCCTGTGAGTTTATTCCTATTGGAGTGTTTATTTGATATAACCATAACTCAATCTTGTCATTATTCATGCTGAATGTTTTCATACTCTTCGGACACTGCATCGACCAGAAGTTCTTACCTTGAGAAATGGCCGCTGTGACATTATATGTTTTGTTTTATACTCATACATATCTATGTAATCAAGGATTCATTGTTCTAGAAGTGGCATTTTTTTCCCTAAAGCTTTAGGTTGTCATATGCCTTTGTTTATCCCATGCTACTTATGTATGAATGTATGTATGTATGTATGTATGTATGTATGTATGTATGTATGTATGTATGTATGTATGTATGTATGTATGTATGTATGTATGTATGTATGTATGTATGTATGTATGTATGTATGTATGTATGTATGTATGTATGTATGTATGTATGTATGTATGTATGTATGTATGTATGTATGTATGTATGTATGTATGTATGTATGTATGTATGTATGTATGTATGTATGTATGTATGTATGTATGTATGTATGTATGTATGTATGTATGTATGTATGTATGTATATGTATGTATGTATGTATGTATGTATGTATGTATGTATGTATGTATGTATGTATGTATGTATGTATGTATGTATGTATGTATGTATGTATGTATGTATGTATGTATGTATGTATGTATGTATGTATGTATGTATGTATGTATGTATGTATGTATGTATGTATGTATGTATGTATGTATGTATGTATGTATGTATGTATGTATGTATGTATGTATGTATGTATGTATGTATGTATGTATGTATGTATGTATGTATGTATGTATGTATGTATGTATGTATGTATGTATGTATGTATGTATGTATGTATGTATGTATGTATGTATGTATGTATGTATGTATGTATGTATGTATGTATGTATGTATCTGGTAATCTGGTAATCTTAGTTTCAGCTTCATAGCAAACGGGTCACCTCATCGTTGCTCTGCTCCTGTGCCAAAGAAAAACATATCCATCATCCATCATGTAGCAGGTCCTTTGCAGAACGTCGCTCTCATCACAGTCTGCCAGTAAGAAATTCGGTCTCTTGCCAGTTTTCCCGCCTCATGAACTTTCACATTCAAGGAGTCACTTATATCCTGTGCCCATCTTCGTGTCGGTCGGCCCCTGCCCCTCCTTCCTGGTACCATGCCTTCAGCTGTAATTTTTTTTCCAATCCGTCGTGGCGTTTGATATGACTAAAATATTTCAGCTTTCGAGAAAGGGTGCTGTTTATTAGCCAATCTTCCTTGATGTTCATATTTTTTAAGATGTCAATATTTCTCATCTTCTTTGTCCAAGATATTCTGAGAATCTTTCTATAGCATTTCAGCTCAAAAGCCCCTATTCTCTTTCTTAAGGACTGAGAGATAGTCCACGACTCACATCCGCGTGTAGCCACAGGGAAGATGCATGCTCTCAAAATTCTAATTTGTATCTCCTTCTGGTGCTTAAACATATACTTTTAAGGCTGTTCAATCTTTGCATTGCTATGGCCATCCTCCTTTTAATTTCTGTCGAACAGTCTCCATTGCTGTTTATTATAGAGCCTAGATATTTAAAGTTTGTGACATTTTCAATTTCTTCATCATTTATTGTTATTTTTTGGGTGACAGCCAGTTTTATCTGTGGACATTATTTTCGTTTTCTTTAAATTCAAGAACATATTTTGATCTTCACTGTGCTTTTGGACGGACAATATTAAATTTGCTATTCCCTTTACGCTGTTCGAAAGGAGGACTGTGTCATCTGCGTAGCGGAGTTCCGGAATAGGGTTGCCACCAATTTTGAGCGGATCATAACTGTTACAAGTCTGGTCATAAGAAAAACAAACAGAATGTTTATCCAATCCCTTGTGGAAAGATGGACAGACTGCTGTCTCAGCATATCTAGCATACACACGCATTAAAGCATACGGTAGCCAACCGAAGTGTTAATACAAACAGTCTGACATTAGAAATGCAGTTCATTATTGATGGTAGCAGAAGTCACTAATAGATCAGCAATTGCACACGCGATCAATTTTAATCACATAAGGACACCATCAATATTTCAACAATAGGCATCGCACCATTTTCTGAATCTACAATTCATACAAAGACGTTAGTCATAGTCGAAAAAAACCCATTCCAAATGAAATCTGCAGATCACAATGTCACGCCAAGCATTTAACTCGGAAGCTGGGCGACGAAACTATATTCTTTCAGTCTACAAATGGAGTAAAAATGCAATAGCCACCGTCCCTCGTCAGCTCTCCCGCCTTATGTACTTTCATACTCAAGTAGTCACTTATATCCTGTGCCCATCTTCGTGTTGGTCGGCCCCTGTCCCTCCTTCCTGGTACCATGCTTTCTGCTATTATTTTTTTTTCCAATCCGTCGTGGCGCTTGATATGTCCAAAATGTTTAAGCTTCCGAGACAGGATGCTGTTTATTAGACAATTTTCCTTGATGTTTAGATCTTTCATAATGTCAATATTTCTCCTCTTCTTTGTTGAAGATATTCCGAGAATCGTTATATAGCATTTCAGCTCAAAAGCCCCTATTCTCTTTCTTAGGAAATGAGAGATAGTCCACGACTGACATCCGTATGTTCCTACAAGAAAGATGCATGCTGTCAAAATTCTAATTTTAATGTCCTTGCTGGTGCTTAACCATAGACTTTTCATTTTGAATGCTTTTCGACTGTGACCAACGTGGTGGTGTGATTTGTAGATTCAGAAAATGGCGCGATGCCGGTTGTCGCAATATTGGTGGGGCCAATATTTGATTTAAATTGATGGCGTGTGCAACTGCTGATCTTTTGGTGACTTCTGCTACCATCAATGATGAACTGCATTTCTAACGTCAGACTGTTTGTTTTAGCACTTCGGATGGCTACTATATGCTTTTAATGCGAGTGTATGCTAGTTTTGCTGAGACAGCAGTTTTTCAGTCTTTCCACAAGGGACTGTGATAAACATTCTGTGTGTTTTTTGTTGGCACAGGAGCGGAGCAAAGATGGGGTGACCCGTTTGCTATGAACCTGAAATTAAAATTACCAGATTACCAGACTTTTATTGCTGTTTAATCTTTGCATTGCTATAGCCATCCTCCTTTGAATTTCTGTCAGTCTCCATTGCTATTTATTATAGAGCCTTGATATTTCAAGATAGTGACATTTTCAATTTCATAGTGTGTGTGTGTGTGTGTATATATATATATATATATATATATATATATATATATATATATATATATATATATATATATATATATATATATAATTAGTAAGAATGTCATGGTAATGATCTGAGACAGTTTTTGTATTGTTGATTTCTCCATGTGGAAATTGTTCGTAGCTGATTTTTTGTTCTAAGGAATTATATCAGTACTATCGGTGTCCAATCATTCATAATGTTATTGTATAGTTATCCTAACATTTAGAATTGACACTGCTGAACTTTACGACAAATACCTTTTGTTGAACTAATGTAAATATGTCACGTGTTAAACTGCTAAGATTGACTAACATTTAGTTACGTTCAGGCCTTTAAGACATTCAACATCTTCATCACAGCCCACCACATTGTGTTCATCATATCAATACAACAAAGTTGGATCTTTGAGAGAATTATTACTGTTTTTTTGTTTTTTGTTGTTGTTGATGTTGTTATGTCTGCCTCATTTTCTATTTAATGAAATCATCTAACACGACACTCCAGTTCACCAAGAGTGCCATTAAAAGTGCCCCCCCCCCCCCCCCACCCTTTTGGGAATTTTTGGAAAGCGTACATAAGTTGCTGGCGTCTAATATATTTAAATGAACACATATATCTTTGACGAAAACAAGCGCAAAGTGCCAACTTACCGCCTCGTGACATTTGGTGTCGTTGTAGCGAACCTTGAAGTAGTGGTCGGGGAGCAGTCTCTCCTGCAGACCTAGCTTCTTGATGGCTATGTCCATCGCTGGGTACACGTGGGCGTAGGAAAACATGTACTTGTTGTTCTTTGGCACCAGCAGCACAACGTTGATTGGTTTCTTGCTGGCTCTATGGGTCATAGATACCACAGACGACTGTGTTCTCACCAAGTCCGCCATCAGATACCACGGCATTATGCTCAAGAAGACAACAATGGCTGAACAAGAAGGCTCTTGTTGATGACGTGTCCACATCACGAGACTTTCAAATGTCCTCAATACCAATCAGCCTGTTTCTGAACCAGTCTGGGCTGATTTTAGTGTGAGTATAGAACAATTACAGAGTATAGCGTGCATCTATCAGATAATACTGCTAGAGTATCACCAGTAAACAGAAATTGCCTTATGCTGACTGATATTATCAACATTATTAAATGCTATTTACAATGAAATACACACTGTATAAGAAATGCGTACTCATATACAGCAGAATTACCTTTGAAGCATTCACTTGTATTTACTTCTAAAGTATTTTATTGAGACTAAAGATAAACTTGATACACCGACGATGACAGAGATCCGTAAAACAAAGAATAATTGGAATATGATGTCTGAAGCGTGTCGCCCTAACTCACCATACAACAGTCTCAAATGTGTCGCCCTAACTCCCCATACAACAGTCTCAAATGTGTCGCCCTAACTCACCATACAACAGTCTCAAATGTGTCGCCCTAACTCCCCATACAACAGTCTCAAATGTGTCGCCCTAACTCACCATACAACAGTCTCAAATGTGTCGCCCTAACTCCCCATACAACAGTCTCAAATGTGTCGCCCTAACTCCCCATACAACAGTCTCAAATGTGTCGCCCTAACTCCCCATACAACAGTCTCAAATGTGTCGCCCTCACCATACAACAGTCTCAAATGTGTCGCCCTCACCATGCAACAGTCTCAAATGTGTCGCCCAACCACACCATACAACAGTCTCAAATGTGTCGCCCAACCACACCATACAACAGTCTCAAATGTGTCGCCCTAACTCACTATACAACAGTCTCAAATGTGTCGCCTTAACTCACCATACAACAGTCTCAAATGTGGCGCCCTCACCATACAACAGTCTTAAATGTGTCGCCCTAACTCACTATACAACAGTCTCAAATGTGTCGCCCAACCACACCATACAACAGTCTCAAATGTGTCGCCCAACCACACCATACAACAGTCTCAAGTGTGTGTATAGTTAAACACTCAACGTTATCCAGCAGGTATATCTGTATACCAATGCAGTGCCACAGATACAGTTGTTACACTGAATTTATTTATTTACAACTTCCAACATTTGTGCGTTTTTTATGAATAACTGATATAAAACAGAACAATCTCTCAATTTCTTTATTTTTGTCTACATCAGTTTGCTTTTTATGTTCCATCTGTTTATGCCACGCATCCGCCAGTCACATATTACTCTGCGAATCCACTGAAACGCGTGCACACATACATACATATTTATTCTAGTGGCTACTTATATCTGTGTTCATCAACCGAGTGGGAGCAGAACAGCAAGAAGCAAAGAACATTATCTATCAAAGCTTTGCTACCCAGAGTTATTTAAATTTCAGTCACAATCTTTCATGGAAAAAGCGAATACATCTTAAAGTATATTTGTGTTAGTAGTAAAACATCCACAAAGGATGTGCAGAGCAACAGTTTATGTAGATCCCAGTAATTCTTTATCTCTGTGCAATAGTTTATGGACGGACTATAGAAATCTCAACTGACACAGTCTATAATATACCTTTCGTTGAAGATAGAGATTAGAGGAAGACATTGAGCAAACATACATTGTTGTGTTACGGCTCTAGTTACGCAGAGATGGAGCAAGAGGTACACAACTGTGGAAGTTTTGGTGGGAGGTGAAAGAAAACAGCAGCAATGAGAACTCTTTGCCTTTGAACCCCCCCCCCCCCCCCAACCACCCTTTCTCTCTCTCTCTCTCTCTCTCTCTTTATCTCTGTTTTTCTCTCTCCACCCGCTCTCTTTATTTCTTACTCTCTGTCCTTCGGTTTCTCTTTCACTAGCTCACTCTAGCTCTCTCTCTCCCTTTCTCTCTTTCTCTTTATATATATATATATATATATATATATATATATATATATATATATATATATATATATATATATATATATCATTCTCACCATCTGTAACAGTTAATTTTCTTAATGAGGACAACTACTAAACATTAATCATGAGCGAGAATCTGGATGGATTGCATCGATGACTAGTTATAATGGATGTTTGAACAAATCCAGTCAATGAAGCCAACTCGACGCAAGCGTGCAGTTCGGCTGAAGAGTACCAGATGAGGAAGGCGTAAAATGGTGAGTAGAGCTTTCGAGTGCAGAAAGATTAGAATAGATTATTTCAACTTGAAGCGGATGGAAAACTCGGTCTTGTTTTCGATCATATGAGAGACTGATCCCGTGGCACTTTGAATACCTGAGTCGAATGTAATCACAGATTGAGCGAATGTTAAGGGTTGCTGGCCTGTTCCTGAGAAAAATCTGGCTATGACTGCATGCCAGTTTGAGATGGACGATTTTCATTTGCTGCAAGGTGGATGTTTTTGCTGAACGCAGTTCTGATAGTTCCTAAATGTAATTACAGTAAGCGTAGTGAAGTTAGAATTCTGTCCAGGCAAGGATAATAATTAGATCGGTTTTGTGTAGCCTACGACTTAGACAACTTACCTCTGGCTCATTGAACGAGGAGAACAACGCTGAAGTCAACAAAACAGTTTAATATTCTCGCCGCTTTGCTGGTGTTCAATATTGCTTTGTTGAATGATTTGTCCATGCGTTTGGGAATACTGCAGATTAGTGCCAAGAGAGTCATTGCACAATCTCAACCTTTCTCTCTCTCTCTCTCTCTCTCTCTCTCTCTCTCTCTCTCTCTCTCTCTCTCTCTCTCTCTCTCTCCCTCACTCTCTCTCTCTCTCTCTCTCTCTCTGTATGATTGTGTGTATCTATATACATCACATAGTGGGGATGGGAGTAAGTTTTTCTTTATTTAATTCGGAAAGTAGACTGCATGAAATGGACGTGATCTATCGGTCACCTGAATATAACACTTGCAATGTCTAGACTGCGTTCTGCTCCACTTGCAGCTGCAGTCAGCGAGAGGCCCTTCTGTAATCTTGGCTATTTAGCCCACACTTGAGAGGCCCTTCTGTAATCTTGGCTATTTAGCCCACATTTGAGAGGCCCTTCTGTAATCTTGGCTATTTAGCCCACATCTGAGAGGCCCTTCAGTAATCTTGGCTATTTAGCCCACATCTGAGAGGCCCTTCTGTAATCTTGGCTATTTAGCCCACATCTGAGAGGCCCTTCAGTAATCTTGGCTATTTAGCCCACATTTGAGAGGCCCTTCTGTAATCTTGGCTATTTAGCCAACATCTGAGAGGCCCTTCAGTAATCTTGGCTATTTAGCCCACATCTGAGAGGCCCTTCAGTAATCTTGACTATTTAGCCCACATCTGAAAGGCCCTTCAGTAATCTTGGCTATTTAGCCCACACTTGAAAGGCTCTTCAATTAATCTTGGCTATTTAGCCCACATTTGAGAGGCCCTTCAGGAATCTTGGCTATTTAGCCCACATATGAGAGGCCCTTCTGTAATCTTGGCTATTTAGCCCACATTTGAAAGGCCCTTCAGTAATCTTGGCTGTTTAGCCCACATCTGAGAGGCCCTTCTGTAATCTTGGCTTTTTAGCCCACATTTGAGAGGCCCTTAGAGACGCTTAGGATTAGTCAGGGGGTAATGATTCTTAACACAAACATACACACGAGCACACAAAAAGACACACACACACACGAAAACACATAAGGGCGCGCGCACACACACAAGGGCGCACACACACACACGAGCACACATAAAGACGCACACACACGATTACACATGAAGACACACACACACACACACGATTACACACAAAGACACACACACACACACGAGCACACATGAAGACACACACACACACACACATGAGCACACATGAAGACACAAACACACACGCGCGAGCACACATTAAGACACACACATACACACGAGCACACATGAACCCACACACACACACACGAGCACACATGAAGCCACACACACACATGAGCACACATTAAGACACACACATACAGACGAGCGCACATATAGACGCACACATACACACGAGCACACATAAAGACGCACACGTACACACGAGCACACATGAAGGCGCACACACACACACACGAGCACACATAAAGACGCACTCACACGAGCACATATGAAGCCTCACACACACAGCGCACATAAAGACGCACACATACACACGAGCACACAAAAAGACACAAACATACACACGAGCACACATAAAGACACAAAACATACACACGAGCACACATAAAATCACAAACATACACACGAGCACACATGAGGACACACACATACACACGAGCACACATCAAGACACATACATACACACGAGCACACATGAAGACACACACATACACACGAGCACACATGAAGACACACACGAGCACACATTAAGGCGCGCACACACACACAAGCACACATGAAGACACACACATACACACGGGCACACATGAAGACGCACACACACACACGAGCACACATGAAGACACACACACGAGCACACATGAAGAAACATACATACACGAGCACACATGAAAACACACACATACACACAAGCACACATGAAGACACATACATACAAGAGCACACATGAAGACACACACATACTTAATACATAATACATTAAGATACACACACACACACACACACGTGCACACATGAAGACACACATACACACGTGCACACATGAAGACACACACACGAGCACACATGAAGACACACACACATACACGAGCACACATGAAGACTCACACATACTTAATACATAATACATTAAGATACACACACACACACACACACGAGCATACATGAAGACACACGCACACACGTGCACACATGAAGACACACACATACACGAGCACACATGAAGACGCACACACACACACAAGCACACATTAAGACGCACACACACACACACACGAGCACACATGAAGTCGCACACACACACACGAGCACACATGAAGACACATACATACACACGAGCACACATGAAATCACGCACACACACACACGAGCACACATGAAGACACACACATACACACGAGCACACATGAAGACGCACACA